ACAGCTTGCTCCCTCCTCCCTGTGGCTTCCTCTCACATATTTATACATGGCTATCATATCTCCTCTCAGCCTTCTCTTCTTCAGGCTAAACACGCCCAGTTCCCTAAGCCGCTCCTCATAGGGCTTGTTCTCCAGACCCTTGATCATTTTAGTCGCCCTCCTCTGGACACATTCCAGCTTGTCAATATCTCTCTTGAATTGTGGTGCCCAGAATTGGACACAATATTCCAGATGTGGTCTAACCAAAGCAGAATAGAGGGTAGCATTACTTCCCTTAGATCTAGACACTATGCTCCTATTGATGCAGGCCAAAATCCCATTGGCTTTTTTTGCCGCCACATCACATTGTTGGCTCATGTTTAACTTGTTGTCCACGAGGACTCCAAGATCTTTTTCACACGTACTGCTCTCGAGCCAGCATTGTCCCCCATTCTGTATCTTTGCATTTCGTTTTTCCTGCCAAAGTGGAGTATCTTGCATTTGTCCCTGTTGAACTTCATTTTGTTAGTTTTGGCCCATCATCTCTCTACTCTGTCAAGATAGTTTTGATTCTGCTCCTGTCCTCTGGAGTATTGGCTATCCCTCCCAGTTTGGTGTCGTCTGCAAACTTGATGATCCTGCCTTCTAGCCCTTCATCTAAGTCATTAATAAACATGTTGAACAGGACTGGGCCCAGGACGGAACCCTGCGGCACTCCACTCGTCACTTCTTTCCAAGATGAAGAGGAAGCATTAGTGAGCACTCTCTGTGTTCGTCCACTTAACCAATTACAGATCCACCTCACTGTAGTTTTGCCTCGCCCACATTGGACTAGTTTCCTTGCCAGAAGGTCATGGGGGACCTTGTCGAAGGCCTTACTGAAATCCAGGTACGCTACATCCACGGCATTCCCCGCATCTACCCAGCTTGTAACTCTATCGAAAAAGAGATCAGATGAGTCTGGCATGACTTGTTTTTGATAAATCCATGTTGACTATTAGCGATGACCGCATTTGTTTCTAAGTGTTTGCAGACCACTTCCTTAACAATCTTTTCCAGAATCTTGCCTGGTATCGACGTGAGGCTGACCGGACGGTAGTTGTTTGGGTCATCCTTTTTTCCCTTCTTGAAGATTGGGACCACATTGGCCCTCCTCCAATCTGCTGGAACTTCTCCCGTTCTCCAAGAACTCTCAAAGATGGTTGCCAATGGTTCCGAAATGACTTCCGCTAGTTCCTTCAATACTCTGGGGTGTAGTTGATCTGGCCCTGGGTACTTGAACTCATTAAGAGCGGCCAGGTATTCCTGGACGACTTCTTTCCCAATTTGGGGTTGGATGTCCTCCAATCCCTCATCCACTCCATCTTGCTGAGGTTGAAGACTCTCTTTTTGTGAGAAGACCGAGTCAAAGAAGGCATTAAGTAGTTCTGCCTTTTCCCTATCCCCTGTCAGCATTGCCCCATCTTCTCCTCGAAGAGGTCCTATCGCCTCCTTGTTTTTCCTTTTTCTACTGACATAAGAATAGAAGCCCTTTTTATTGTTTTTAATGTCCCTGGCAAGTCTGAGCTCGTTTTTTGCTTTAGCTTTGCGGACCTTTTCCCTACAGGTGTTGGCTATTTGTTTGAATTCTTCTTTGGTGATTTCTCCCTTTTTCCACTTCTTGTGCATGTCTCACATGGTGATGATGATTATGATGATAACAATAATAACAATGCTTTCACTTCCCTCTGCCCAGCATGAAATACTGGAGCTGCTGCGGAATTAAAACCACAGACTTCAACGCATTCCTGGAGCAAAAGGGCTGCAGCCGAGGGAGGCATCTCTGGGTCAAAAAACAGGTCGGGACCCCCTTCCTGTATCCCTCCCAGTTCATGATAGCTGGGGTTTGCAGGGTTCCATAGGGAAGAGAGCAGCCAGCTGGCAACCTTGCTCTGGGGGGGCTACAAGAAGGGACCTTTGTGCCAATGCTTTTTCTTGTCTTCATCCCCATCAGCAGGACAAGAGGCTGGTCTCTTGCCGGCAGGACTGGCACCAAACCAGCAGCCAGGTGGTGGTCACCCTCTATGCCAAGACTCCTCTTCCAGAGCTCAGTTCCGTCAAAGCCAACCGCACCTCGGTAAGGAAGCAAGGAAGGAGCTTGGGAATGATCCTGGACTCATCGCTGAACCTGGAACCCCAGGTCTCAGCGGTGGCCGGGAGAGCTTTTGCACAATTAAAACTTGTGAGCCAGTTGCGCCCGTACCTTGGGAAGTCTGATCTGGCCACAGTGGTCCACGCCCTTGTTACATCCCGAATAGATTACTGCAATGTGCTCTACGTGGGGTTGCCTTTGAAGACTGTTCGGAAACTTCAACTAGTCCAGCAGGCGGCAGGCAGATTAATCACCAGAGCGTCATACAGGGAGCACACCACTCCTCTGCTACGTCAGCTCCACTGGCTGCCGATTCAGTTCCGAGCACAATTCAAAGTTCTGGTTTTGACCTATAAAACCCTATACGGCACCTGCCAAGCATACCTGTCTGAACGTATCTCCTTCTATGTCCCACCACGGAGTTTAAGATCATCTGGGGAGGCTCTGCTCTCAGCCCCGCCTTTATCACAAGTGAGATTGGTGGGGACGAGGGACAGGGCCTTCTCAGTGGTGGCCCCTCACCTGTGGAATTCACTCCCCGGAGAAATCAGGTCGTCAACATCCCTCCTCTCCTTCAGAAGGAAGCTGAAGACATGGATATGGGACCAGGCATTTGAGTAATCTGGCAGATTAACAGGGTAATGATGACTAGAGCTGGAAAGGACTATGGTAATGCTAAATGGATTGACGGATTTTAGAACTCGATGAACGCGGGCTATAGAGCGGTTTTTAGTGGATATTGTATTAATTGTATGTTTTAACTATTGTATTATTGTTATTGCATTTTATTGTAATTGTTGGCATCAAATTGTGCCGGATGTAAGCCGCCCTGAGTCCCCCCCAGGGGGTGAGAAGGGTGGGGTAGAAATGCCCAAAATAAATAAATAAATAATAAGGACAACCCACCTCTATTTTAGCTTTAACTGTATTATTTTAGCTGCATCAGGACACCAAAGCTTCCTTCAATGGAAAAGGAAAACCTTGGGTAGCATGAATCTTAATTGCCTTCATTCAGTTCTATTGAATCATGGGGGCTGTAGTTTTACAAGGCCTTGAGCCTTCTCTGACACCTCACCAAATGACAAATCCCAGCATCTCATAGCATTGAGCCACAGCCATTATATGACATATGAGGTCCCTCAAAGAGGAGCTTCAGAAGCGGCTCCCTCTTTTGCTTTGGCTCAGCATTAAGATCACCGTATGATGCAATTCTTATGTACACCGTAATTTGGGCAGTATAATTTATATGGTAATCAATTAAATTTAAATTGAATCCAATTTGTCTTATTAAAAAGAGATTCCAACATTAGGAAGAACTCCCTGACTCTTGGAGCTATTCAGCCATGGAAAACAAGGAGTCTCCTTGTGGAGAGAAAAAGCATGATATTATTTATTTGTTTGTTTGTTTGTTTGTTTTGGGTATTTGCATCCCACCCTTCTCAACCCCATGGGGTGGGGGGTGGGGACTCAGACCGGCTTCCAGCCGGCACGTATTTGATGCCATAAACACAATAAAATACACATCAAAATCAATAATTATAAATAGTTAAAAACATTAGTTTAATATAATAAAGTCTACTAAAAAAGAAAGCCAGTCTAGTGGCCGTTGTCCTGTCGAGTTCTGTAATTGACGGCGCCATTAAGCTTGTCTATAAACTGTTTCCATAGCAATTGTCGTCAAGTCTGCAAGATTACCCAAAGGCCTGGTCCCACATCCACGTTTTTAATTTCCTTCTAAAGGAGAGGTGGGATGAAGATGACCAAATTTCCCCAGGGAGTGAATTCCACAGGCAGGGGGCCACCACCGAGAAGGCCCTGTCTCTTGTCCCCGCCAATCGTGTTTGTGACGGGCAGGGCCGAGAGCAGGGCCTCTCCAGAAGATCTTAAACTCCTAGGTGGAATGTAGAAGGAGATACGTTCGGACAGGTACTCTGGGCCAGAATCATATAAGTAAACAAAATAATAAGAACAATAAACAAACAAACAAACAAACAGCACTGGAGGATGCACTTTCTTTGAACAAGAGTTGGGCAGGCATCTTTTAGGAGAGCTGTAGTTGTGTATTTCTGCATTGGCATGGGGATGACCTCGTAGGATCCCTTCCTGGTCCATGATTTTGCAATTTCTGCCCTTTTTTCAGGTGGACATCCACATCGTCTTTGAGGGAGACAAGGTTTTCCAGGCAGAGCTGGATCTCTGGGGGGTGAGTTCTCATTTGTTGGGCTTGCTCTTCTACCTGCAGGCGTCTTCACCTGTTGAATGTCTGCCCGGCTCACAGCTATAAAAATCAGCACAGAAGCAACCAGGAAACACGGGATGGGCCTCATGGTGGGGCAACCCTCAACTTGCCTCCTTGTCTCCCAATGGCCTTGCTTTTGGCCTGGGGATAATGGGACTTGTCCCTCCCTCCTTCCTCTCTTCACCAGGTGATCGATGTGCAGAGAAGTGCGGTGAACCTGCTGCCCTCCAAAGTTGAGATCACCTTGCAGAAGGCCCCCCCACTGACCTGGGCCCGGCTGGAGCACCCCCAGAGCAGAGCGGAGCCGCCCAAGGGGCCCGAGGTGGAGGCTTTGGACGGCCAAGGACCCCTTGGTGGCCCAGCAGAGGAGGAGTCAGATGATTCGCTGAGTTGGTCCTCGGAGGAGGAAGACTGGGAGGAAGGCAGCGCAGGCCCCATCAGCTCCCAATCCAGGGGGAACTGAGTCGAGGTGAATCCAAGGCGATGGCAGAAGGAGTCTGTGGGGCTAGGACTGATTCCGATGGTCGCCAGCAGAAGGAAAGAGACATGGGCTCCAGGCAGCTGTGGCGCCGCAAGGACATTCGCTAGGCATTCGGATATTTTTGGAACTTTTGAGAACCCTATAGGTCCTTTAGGAAAATTTGAGAATTATATACGTCCTATAAGAACATTTGAGAACCATATAAGTCCTTTAGGAATATTTGAGAATGCTATAGGTCCTATAAGAACATCTGAGAACCCTATAGGCCCTGTAGGAACATTTGGGAAACCTATAGGTTGTCTAAGAACGAGAACCCTATAGGCCCTGTAAGAACATCTGAGAACCCTATAAGTCCTTTGGGAACATTTGAGAACCCTACAGATCCTATAAGAACATTTGAGAACCCTATGTGCCTTTTAGGAGTATTTGGGAACTCTATAGGTCCTATATGGGGATTGGAGAATTCTACAGGTCCTATAGCCACATTTGAGAACCCTATATGTCCTATAGGAGCATTTGGGAACTCTATATGGGATTGGAGAATTCTACAGGTCCTGTAAGAACATTTGAAAACCTTTAAGTCCCTTAGGAACATATGAAACCCCTATAGATCCTTTCAGAACATTTGAGAACCCTGTAAGTTCATTAAGAACATTTGAGAACCCTATAGGTCTTTTAGAAACATTTGAGAGCCCTATAGCTCCTATAGGAGCATTTGGGAACCCTGTAGGACTTATATGAAGATTGGAGAATTCTACAGGTTCTATAGCAACGTTTGAGAACCCTATATGTCCTATAGGAGCATTTGGGGACTCTAAATAGGACTGGAGAATTTTACAGGTCCTGTAAAACCATTTGAGAACCTTTAAGTCCCTTAGGAACATATAAGACCCCTATAGGTCTTTTCAGAACACTTGAGAACCGTATAAGTTCATTAAGAACATTTGAGAACCCTATAGGTCCTATAGGCCCTTTAGGAGCATTTGGGAACCCTGTAGGGCTTATATGGAGATTGGAGAATTCTACAGGTTTTATAGCAACATTTGAGAACCCTATAAGTCCTATAGGAGCATTTGGGGACTCTATATGGGATTGGAGAATTCTACAGGTCCTGTAAGAACATTTGAGAACCTTTAAGTCCCTTAGGAACATATGAGACCCCTATAGGTCCTTTCAGAACACTTGAGAACCCTATAAGTTCATTAAGAACATTTGAGAACCCTATAGGTCCTTTAGAAACATTTGAGAACCCTATAGGTCCTATAGGCCCTTTAGGAGCATTTGGGAACCCTGTAGGGCTTATATGGAGATTGGAGAATTCTACAGGTTCTATAGCAACATTTGAGAACCCTATATGTCTTATAGGAGCATTTGGAGCTCTACAGGTCCTATAGGGTGATTTGGATCCCTATAGGAGCATTTGGAACCCTATGGGCCCTGTAGGAGGCTTGGGATACCCTATAGGACCCTATAGTTCCTTATGGCTCCTATAAGGGCATTTGGTGCACATATATAAATGCAGGTATTGCAAAAATAAATGTTACAAAAATCAGAAATCTTCTGGCCCCAAGCATTTTGATTCAGGGAAACTGAACCTATAAAAAGATTTGATGTGAAGAATGGAAGGATAGTTTTTAAAAGGTGGCAGTTTCAGCTAGCAGCTGTGGTCGCAAAAGTCATCAAGTTGTCATAAGAGCCCTAAGCTAAAATTTATGATTTCCACGGAAAGTAGCTACTGGCTATTGTGCTCTACCTAAACCCCAAATAAAGGTCTTGTTTTCAGTCAGGCCTCCTTCTGTGTAATTTATTCATTAATTTCATGGTCTCTGTCTTTATGGTGTGCACAATTGGGGGTGTGTGTATGCTCTTATTCAGGCTATACAAAAGGAAAAGGCTTCCAGAAGTCCCTGCAGAGAAAGAAATATAATGCATATATATATATGTTGTAATGTAATATATTATATATACTACAACTTATGATATAGTACAATATATTATATAATACTAATAGTTTAATATACCGGTAGTGTATTATATATATTGTGGTATAATAATATAGTACAATATAATTCTAATAATAATAATATGATAATTGTATATTATATATTTCATGTAATATTATTAATAATATTGCAGCACAGTGGTATAGTACAGTATACTAATATATAATACTAATATTGTGCTAGGCTAATAATATAGTAAAAGTAAAGTTTTTCCCCTGATATTGAGTCCAGTCGTGTCCAGCTCTGAGAGTGGCGCTCATCTCCATTTCTAAGCCGAAGTGTTGGCATTGTCAGTAGACCCCCTTTAAGGTCATGTGGCATAATTGCATGGAGCGCTAATAATATAACAAACTGTATATACTGGCAGTATTGATAAACAGCTCGGGTCCAGACTATTTGATGAACCGCATCTTCCACTATAGGCTAACTCGGACACTGTGGTCATTAGAGGAGGCCCTCTTTTCGGTCCCACCCCCAACCCATGCATGGCTGGTGGGAATGAGAGAAAGGGCCTTCTCTGTGGCCGCCCCCCACCTCTGTAACTCCCTTCTTAAGGAGTTAAAAATGGCCCCCTCTGTGATGATGTGTATTTTTATTCCTATCGTCATGTACTGTTTAGACAATAGTTAGTAATGGTAAGTATGTAGAATTGTATTTTATTAGGGATGGTAACTGGCTTGGCTTGCCTTGAGCTGAGTTGCCATAGCAACGGGGGCAGAGCGAACTGCCAGCTGCCACTTGGCAGCGCAGCTTTTTGAAAGTAGTCAGTCTGTAGCCGGAGAGTTACAGGAGAGGATTGATCTGTGAATCAGTAGTCTGTAACCAGAGAGTTACAGGAGAGGATTCTCCAGTGAGAGGATCAAGGAACTGATCTGTAGTTGTGAACTACAGAGGTAGTTGATCCTGCGTGGAAGTAGAAACCCTGTAGTGATAGAACCACAGGGAGGACTGATTCTTTGATTAAGAATCAAGATTTGGCTTGGAGCTAATACAGTTAATAAATCAAGTGGCTTATTTGTATTACCAGAACGGTTGTTAAAGAAAGAAACATCTGCCTAAAGAAACCTTTTGAAGTTTGTTTAGTGCCTAGAGTCATTCAAGAACTTCCATAAATGTAACCAGCTAGGTTTGTGCCTCTAGAGTGAAGTAACATTGAATCTATTCTACTCCTGTTATATTCCAATAAACTTGTTGCTGTTTTTTCTCAAGCCTTGCCTCAGATACAATTTCTTCTAAGTCAAACAGTCCTGTATAAGAAGAAGAAGGACCAAATTAGGGTTATTAAACGTAAGCTATGCTATAAATTAAGTAAACCCCCCTTAATTAGTGGTCCCTTGGTATCCAGCTCCTAAGTTGATATTGATAATTATACAGCTTCCTCACACTCTCTCTCCCCACTTTCAGGAAACAGTTGAAGACATACTTTTGTTCACTGGCTTAAGAGTAGTGGTAATAGTTGGTAATATTACCATTATACCTCTGATTAATAGCTACTATCTGTATCTGTACCCTGTTCACCACACCAGCCCTATAGATATCTTGAGCAATGATCAATCTATTTGACCCCCAAGGAACTGGGAAACTGATGCTTCTGTTCGATGTTTGATGTTTTGTCTTATGTCTGATATAACAGGCTGCATTTTTTATTTAATTTTAGTTGTTAAGTCATAATTTGTTTTTATATGTTGGGTTGCCAAATTTCGTTACTATGGATGTATTGTTGTTGTGTTTAGGCATTGAAAGACCTGGATGTTCCACTGTGCTTTTGACTAGGCAATTCCCTGGATAGTTTGCCCCATTTGGGACCCAAAACATCTTGTCCTGAAGCACTTTATAATTGTTATACCCCCAAACCTTAATGGTAATTTAGTCATATCCTTGTCATTGCTATATGATATTTACACCTTACGCATTAGCTCTATCCTTTAATGTTGTGGTACCAGTCTGTCCACCCTTGATGAGACATTGAATTTTGTTTTTTGTTGTTCGGATTTGATGTTCGTTCTATATACTGTTTAATGTTATTGTTTTATTTTGTTATATTGCTTTTGATAATATGCATATTATGTTTTAACTGTTCTGTTTAGGCTTGGCACCATGTAAGCTGCCCCAAGTCTCTTTTGGGGAGATGAAAGCAGGGTATAAAAATAAAGTTATTAAAGTTTTATAATGTTTCCCTTTTATGTTTGGAATCCACCCTGAGTACCTCCAGGGAGATAGGGTGAAATATAAATAACATTATTATTATTATTATTATTATTATTATTATTATTATTATTATTGACGCAAGAACATAGTATGACACAGAAAATGAGATATATATGCTGGATTTCATATCCCTAAATCACAAGTCAAACACTTCTCAAGTGTTTAGGACCATGTGATGTGTTTTCAAATGATGTGTGCAGATTTATTTATTTATTTTATTTACAGCTTTTATATTCCGCCCTTCTCACCCCGCAGGGGACTCAGGGCGGATTACAGTGTACACATATATGGCAAACATTCAATGCCAATTTTTGACACACAAACATATACAGACATACACAGAGGCTATTTAACTTTTCTGGCCGCCGGGGAGCTGTTGCTTTCATCGTCCATCTGCGACGCTGATGAAGCACTTCCGCATTCCCCGCATGCTTCCCGCTGGAATGCTTTGCTGGAGTCTTCTTTTTATGGCCTCATAAATCAGTTAATTTAGCCTCCCCACACTTTAAGGTGGTACCTTATTTTCCTACTTGACAGATGCAACTGTCTTTTGGGTTGCAAAGGTTGACAACAGGCTACACACAATTGGTTGGAAATCCACTCCAACCTGGGCTGGCTTCGAACTCATGACCTTTTGGTCAGAGTGATCTTAATGCAGCTGACACTCAGCCAGCTGCGCCACCAAGTACGGTGGCCTTTTGCAGTTGACAGATCGTGATTTTGTAAATGTGTATGCAGATGATACCACTTTGATGGCTGAAAGCGAGGAGGAGCTGAGGAGCCTTTTAATCAAGGTGAAAGAAGAAAGTGCAAAAACTGGTTTGCAGTTAAACATCAAAAAACCCAAGATTATGGCAACCAAACTGATTGATAACTGGCAAATAGAGGGGGAAAACGTAGAGTCCAAAGTGCTCTCTGGATGTAGGTGAACTATAACTCCCAAACTCAAGGTCAATGCCCACCAGTATTTTGTTGGTCATGGGAGTTCTGTGTGCCAAGTTTGGTTAAATTCCATCGTTGATGGAGTTCAGAATGCTCTTTGATTGTAGGTGAACTATAAATCCCAGCAACTACAACTCCCAAATGACAAAATCATATGTTTTTGAGTGATGGTCACTCCTTGTGTTGTGAGACGGTTTGTTGCCAAATTTGGTGTGATTTCATTCATTGGTTCTTTTGTTTTTAAGGTACTTATTATGCACAGAGCATTTTTATATAGATAGATAGAAAGATAGATAGATAGATATTAGACTTACTATAAATTATAACATAATATATATAATGATATATAATGATATACTGTTTTATGATTGTATATTTGAAGTTGTAATGTTTTCGATTGTGAGCCGCTTTGAGTCTTCTTATGGAGAGATAAAGCGGGATATAAATAAAGAAAGCAAGAAAGCAAGCTTCCAAAGAGAAAGTAAAGAAGAGGCGAACGACAAGGAAATTTGTCCGCTTCCGGCCACCGTCTCCCAGCACCCTAAGGGAATACATTTCCCAGAAGAGCCCGGGAGGAGGCGGTGCTGTTTGAAGGCGTAGTCCTTTTTTTTGAAAGCAGGGCGCATGCGCAGTACGCGTACGGTGGCCGGGGGGCGGATGCCGCAGCTTCCCTTCGGCCGGCGACAGAGGCAGCGCCCTCAGAGGAAGGAGAGACCGCGCTCAGGTAATGCCAGGCCCCGGAGGAGGAGGGCTCGGGGAAATCAGAGGCCTCGCTGGCGCTCCATACTGGGCTAGTGACCTATAAGGGCCGAAGGGCGAGGAGTTTGTGTGTGGGTTTGTGCCTCAAAGGCTCCTCTGAGGCGGGATGGATCTGGATTGAATCTGGCGTGTAGGCCCTTCGTTGCCCAACTTACAACATCTGAATCATTTCCATCTGAATGATGGAGCTAGGCCCCGAAAAAGGGATACATAGTTATGTGTGTATGCAGTACTCCAAGGCCACCACAAGGGGGCAGTCTGGATAGAGTGGCAGCCTCAGAGGGAGAGATGACCAATGGAAGAGGGCTACAACGTTGCCATGGAGACATTGGAAGGGCCCCCCTCAAAGGCCATCCAACTCAACTCCCTTCTGGAAGACACTATCCAAGCCCTCCAGACAGATGGCCATCTAGACTCTGCTTTAAGGGACCCCTTAAAGCAGTGACTTTCAACCAGTGGGTCCCCAGATGTTTTGGCCTTCAAATCCCAGAAATCCTAACAGCAGGTAAACTGGGATTTCTGGGAGTTGTAGGCCAAAACACTTGGGGAGCTACAGGTTGAGAACCACTGCATTAAAGGCCCCAGACCAACTCTATTGTTACCAGACAGGAAGACCTGATCAAAACACTCCCTGCAGATGGCCATGCAGCCTCTGCTTTAAAATTTCCAGAGAATGAGACTGTACCACACCCAGAAGCATCTGCATGTTTTGTTGCCAAACAGGAAGTTCTTCCCGATGTTGAGGTGGAATCTTTTCCCCTCCTGCAGTTTGAACCCATTATTCTGTGTCCTAGGGCCCTCGCACACAGCCATATAATCCAGTATATCAAGGATAATAATAATAATAATAATAATAATAATAATAATAAATATTTATAGGCCGCTTTTCTCCCTAACGGGACCCAAAGTGGCTCACAACACAAATCAAAGCATATCTGTATAAATAAAAATGTAATGTTCGTTTGTGGGATTAACATAACTCAGAAACCACAGGATGAATTGACACCAAATTTGGACACAACACACCTATCAGGCCAACGAATGACCATCACTCATAAAAACACAGAAAAGCACAGCAGAAGAGACTTAAAAAACAAAAATTACATTACAATGCATGCGCAAAACTACATATATACACACACACAAACAGACATTTACACATATACACACACAAATACACAGACTGGACCACAGCAACGTGTGGCAGGGGACGGCTAGTTTAAGATAAAATACAAGACAAAAATCACAGAAAGCATAGTAACGTCCCGAAATAAGGTATAAATAAATATTAAGCATCAAAAACATGTAAAACCAATTACAATTATTGTGGAGACTCGTCAATTAAATACTATATTTTGCTGAACTCAGTGCAAATCAACCTTGCTGTCATTAGTGATTGAATTAATTAGTCAAAAGCTTGCTTGACTAGGTAGGGGTTTTTGTGTGTGTGTGTCAGGAGCAACTTGGGAAACTGCAAGTCGCTTCCCGCGTGAGAAAATTGGCAGCATCTGCAAGGACGTTGCCCAGGGGACGCCCGGATGCTTTGATGTTTTACCATCCTTGTGGGAGGCTTCTCTCATGTCCCTGCACAGAGCTGACAGAGGGAGCTCATCCACACTATCTGGATTTGAACCTCCAACCTGTCAATACAATGGTTTAACCCATTGCACCACCTGAGGGCTTCAACTGGTTCTTGAAAGATAACAAAGAAGGGCAGTTTTAATCTCAATGGGGAGGGAATTCCAACGGGCTGGGGCGGCTACCGAGAAGGCCCTCTCTCTCATTGCTACCAACCATATTTGTGATGGCAGCAGCAATGAGAGAAGGTTTCTCAGGAAAATCTTAATGATTGGGTGGGTTGGTAAGAGGCAATGCAGTCAGATAGGTAAGTTGGGCCTGATGGGGTTAGGGTTATCTGAGTCCACGCCGCCATATATTCCAGTTCAAAGCAGATAATGTGGGATTTTATTCAGTTGTGTGGAAGGGGCCCTAGTCTCTCGAGCAGCAGAAAACAAGCCTTGCCCCTTCTTCCTCAGTGTGACCTCCATTCTGATATTTAAACATAACTAAAATTATGGCCCGTTCTCTCAGCCTTCTTTTCACTAGTATTCAGAAAGCACTATTGTAACAAAATTAAAAAAAAATTCTGTTCCTGGTTTGAAAGTGTTATTTTCTGCCTTAATTGCATGGTCCTTACTAGAAAAAGAGTTGCTATCCTCCAGAAACTTCATTTTTGTGGCTATCACAAACTGTCAAATTGGTGGAGACCCTTATGATTTTAAATTCTCTGTGTTACTGTTTATATGTGAGTTATATTAATTGTATTGTTTTATTTGCTTGCTGTTTTGTTTTTACTGATTTGTTGTTGGGCTTGGCCTCATGTAAGCCGCCCCGAATCCCCTTGAGGAGATGGTGGCGGGGTATAAATAAAGATTATTATTATTGTATTGTCGCAGGCTTTCATGGCTGGAATCACTCAGTTCTTGTGGGTTTTTTCGGGCTATATGGCCATGTTCTAGAGGCATTTCTCCTGACGTTTCGCCTGCATCTATGGCAAGCATCCTCAGAGGTGAGGTCTGCTGGAAATGGGAAAAAGGGGTTTATATATCTGTGGAAAAAAGGAGTTTATATATCTGTGGTCATTCCAGACCTCACCTCTGAGGATGCTTGCCATAGATGCAGGCGAAACGTCAGGAGAAATGCCTCTCGAACATGGCCATATAGCCCGAAAAAACCCACAAGAACTGAATTATTATTATTATTATTATTATTATTATTATTATTATGAGACATTCATTGAAAAACTAGAGCTGCAGGATGTCGCTTCCTCAAAAAGAAAGTTTTGACGGTTTAATAAAGTTTCCCTATGTTTTTATGATAGAACCAATTAGGAAATGACATTTATAACCCAAGAAGAAAAATTGCGTTACATAGTGAAATGCATACCTGGGCAATGCCGGATGCATGTGCTAGTAACAGTCCAACAAAATACAGGGGAAAAAAATCTTGTTATCTTGGTTTTTAGGCCTGTTCCTGGGGTTATTTAGGGCTTTGATTAAGTGAATGGCATTGGATAGACTGCACCAGCTCTAGTTTCTTGGGTTATCCTGGTTTTCTTTGGGCAACTTTGTATCTCACAAACTAGAGATATGATAGAGGGAAGCCTGCACCATCTTTGGAATCAGCAATTGTCAAATATATCCAGAGACAGGGCTCACATTAGAGGCATCAAAATGTGTGTGGCCCAGTATAATCCTAGTAATGGAATTAGACTCCACCCAATGAGAAGCTTTGTGAATGCCTTTCAGAGGAAGCAACACTGCGGCCCTGTGACACCTCTCTCCCCCCCCCCCCACACACATCCCTTTGATATCTAGAGCTAAAGCTGGATGAATCTGCAACAGCAGCACTTCCTGGAGGCTGCAACCTCTTCTGCTGTCGCATTTGCCTCCTGCAGCTCTGCCTCTGGCTGCCCGACGCTGCATAGGCCAGGAAGTGGTTTTGCAGCTCCCAGGCAGCAGCAAGGACTGTTTACCACCTTGTCATCTTGTTTGGTCCCAAGGTGTGGCAGCCTCTGAGGAGAATAGATGCCTTGGGGAAGAGGCTTTTGGGCAGCCCTCTGATCCCAGTGTATTGGGATTTCACCTATTCACTTAGGCACCTTCCACGCAGCCATATAACCCAGAATATCAAGGCAGATAACGTGGGATTTTATACAGCTGTGTGGAAGGGGCCCTAGTGGCATTGTGTTTGCGTGAGAGAGGACTACAAGGGTGAGAGCAGATCCAGTCTACACTTTCATATAGTCCAGTTTCTGAATCCAGATTATCTGCATTGAACTGGATTATATGGGAGTGTAGATCCAGTTGTAGTCACTCAGAAGAAAGGCTTTCATTCTGAGACTTCAGATGTATGTGCGTAAACAAGTATGTTGTATATGTTGTACTGGCAGTCCCAAGATAGGTTTTTTTCTTAAATGGAATTTGTTTGCAAGTCAGAACAGGTACATTTGTTAAGTGGAACTCCAGCTTCATACATAAACATATATATGCACACATATAAATATATGGCTGGATAGTATAGGGAAGGGTTAACACTGCTGTGGTGTTTGTTTTGTTTTGTGTGACCCTGTTTGGAAGATTTCACCTTCCTCTCTTCCCCTGTGAGAATTGATTTTGAAAAATTTTGGCTTGTTATAGAAACAAGGATTGGCGATAAAGCTTCATTCGAGACCCCTTATTATTATTATTATTATTATTAATAATAACACAACAAGATGAGTCCACAGCAGACACTGCTGGCTGTTGAATTGGATCACACATCGGACACTTCCCAAGTGTCTAGGAATGTGTGATGTATCGGCGAATAATGCGTGCAGATCCCAGTAGAGTGGTCTTTTGCAGCTGGCAGATGGTAATTTTGTCAGCGCTGATTGTGTTTAAGTGCAGGCCAAGGTCTTAAGGCACTGCACCCAGTTTGCCGATCACCACTGGGACCACCTTTACTGGCTTGTGTCAGAGTCTTTGCAGTTCAATTTTTAAATCCTTATATCGTGTCAGCTTTTCCAGTTGTTTCTCTTCAATCCTGCTGTCACCTGGGATTATTATTATTATGATTTCATGCACTTCTATCCTGCCCTTCTCCCCACAAGGGGGATTCAGGGCGGCCTCAGACAGGCATCAACGATGCTTACAACGTATACATCATAAGAATACAATTAAAACAGTAAAAACATCTAACAACTCTTTCAGTAGTGAATGTCTCTTCTGAGGGGCAGATTTCTCTCACTTTCTGTGTTTCACCCCATTCTTAACTATGAATAGTTTGTAAGTTGGATGTTTATAGCTCAGGGACTGCCTGTAATTGCAATGGAATTCTTCCTTCTTCCTCCAGGAAGTAAACAAGCAAACATGATCTTTGTTCCCCTGGCCTTTTCTTACATAGTTGTATCTTCACGTGTATTTTACACTTTCAAAACTGTTTTAATAGGGTGGTTGTATTTTTACTTTTTAATGTATTTTTGGCCTTTGCCTCATAATGCAGCATTTGTGGTGAACAAATCTTTCGTGGTCTTGAGAATTGAAATGGATGATGGAGCAAAGTTGTAAGGAGTTGTCCTCCATGTCTGAGAATACTCTTTTAAAGTAAATATTCAATTCTAGGCAGTGAGGTTGCAATTCTGATTTTAAGAAAAACCCTGGCCTCCCTGCTTGTTAACCCAAATGGATGGTTGGTCCTTTGATAGGCATGCGAAGAAGGTATTTGAAGAATCCTCTTGACAAATTCAGATTTGAGGCATTGGCAAACAAGGTTGCTGAGCTTATTATATAAGGACATGCTATGCAATACATGTAACCCATCACATGGGTGGGTAACTGCAGTGGACCAGGGGCTCATTTTCTGCCTCATGACCCCAAAAGATGGTGGAAAAACACAACCAGAAGCAGTAAACTTCCACTTCTGGTTTTGAAATACCAGGTGCTTCTTAATGTTGAAACAACAGTGCAGCCCGTTTCAAGGTGAATTGCTTCTCCTGGACACTTCACCTTCCAGGGAAGTCAGAAGACGAGTAGTCTAGAGAATTTAGAGGAGGTCAATGGTCAGAAAAAGCTTAGGGAGGGGCTTCATGTGACACAGGGCCACCTTTCTGGTGGGCACAAAGCTGCATCAAACCATTGGTTCTTCTGGTTCATTGCTGTCTGGTGAGAGATCATACTCGTTGCAGAGAAAGATGTCTGCAGGGGACTGACTCTGGAGCATCTCTAGCAATGTCTCAACCTTCCTAATGCTGCGACCCTATAGTTCCTCATGTTGTGGTGACCCCCAACCATAACATTATTTTTGCTGCTACTTCATAACTGTCATTTTACTCCTGTTATGATTCATCATGCAAATATTTGATATGCAGGATGTATTTTCATTGACTGGACCAAATTTGGCACAAATACCCGATACATCCAAATTTGAATACTGGTGGAGCTGGGGGCGGGGTTGATTTTGTCATTTGGGAGTTGTAGTTGTTGGGATTTATAGTTAATCTACAATCAAAAAGCATTCTGAACTCCACCAGCGATGGAATTGAACCATCTCCAACAGAAAATACTGGAAGGGTTTGGTGGACATTGACCATGAGTTTTGGAGTTGTAGTTCACCTACATGCAGAGAGCACTGTGGACTCAAACAGTGATGGATCTGGATCAAACTTGGCACGAATCCTCAATATACCCAAATGTGAACACTGGGGAAAATAGGGAGTCGTAGTTGCTGGGATTTATAGTTCACCTATAATCTAAGAGCATTCTGAACACCACCAACGATAGAATTGGGTCAAACTTCTCACACAGAATCCCCATGACCAACAGAAAATATTGTGTTTCCTGATGGTCTTATGGTGACGCCTCTGAAACCCACTTATGACCCCCCCCCCAGGGGTCCCAATCCTCAGGTTGAGAAACACTAATGTATAGAGAGTTGCCCTATCCAGTTTCCCTCTTTTCCAAGTTTTGTATGCTATCTTTGGAAAGGTATTCTGCTAATACCTTTCTCATCTGGGGAATCAGCTTTTGGTTCACTAACATGAGCAGCCAAATCTTTTGGGGGCAGTTTCCTCTTCGTCTCGTGAACTTAAGTAGCACCTTTTGAAGGAAGAAAAAGCAGACAAGTTGTTTCTTGTCTTGGCTGGTTCAGCAGTTCCCAGTTTGAAAGCAAGCAAAAGTTGGGTATAAATCATGGAGCGGCATTCAGCTTCATTGATTCTGGAGAGTGATGGAAATTCTGAAAAGAGATTCCCGCCTCTGCCATCCACACAATCTGGGACTTCGATCCCCCCCTCCTTTTGAAGGGCACTTCCAAAGCAACCCCCTGCTTTGAGCTTGCCTGGCCTCTCTTTCTTTCTGAGCGTCTCACTTGTCCTCAGTGTTAAGGCAAACGTTCTGCTGCAGCTCAAGCGCATTAATTCCCAGTAGCCCCACCATTGTTTGGCATAATCTGTTCTTGGCCTCCTTCTAACAGTCCTTTGTGTATTCACAGGCGGCTTCCATGGGTCTGTGGAAACATTGTGAGCCTCCATCACAGGTGCTGGGTTCGAAGGCCTTGTTGGCCTCCAGCTCCAGCCTCTGGTGGAACAGCTGGCTGGTGGTTTTATCACAGAGCAGTGGCAGATTAGTTGGCTGGTAGAATCACTTCTGTGCATCCTGTTAGCTTTTATGGTCGAGAAACCAATATTACAAATGCACAAGGATACTGGTGAGGGGCATTTTAAATTTGTAAAATTCATGGGGTCTCTGAAGACACAAACACAAGCCCCAGCATGAGAAAAGGAAGTTTCCCCTCCCTCTAAATCCAGGAAATGATGTTCTGGGCTCTTGACTTGGGTTTCCCCTTCTGCTTTCATGTGAGAACACACAGTTCTTTCTTCCTTATTTAGATTATGCACATTCTACCTTTGAGTCAGGGGCATTCAAGATGACTTACAGCATATTGCAGGTGTCTGCAGACATGTGGCCTTGCAGATGGGATTGGACTGCGATTCCTATTTGTTTTTTGCTGAGGAATGCTTGGAGGTGCAACCCAACAACATTAGAAAAGCCATATAGATTGCTCTCATCTTGGTGCACATACATTGCAGTTCTTTGTTCCCAGACACCTCATGAGGCCCTTGGCCAGCAGAAAAAGGGAAGAAGGCCTTCTGCTTTGGCTCTTATCATTCCCTCTGGAGAGTTACCTCTGGCAGGCTCCACACACTTACTGCAAACTGCGCCACTTTTGGTGGCTGGACAGTGCACTCTTCCCATTATTCTCTTTCTAAGAAACTGCCTCTTTTCCTTTGATTTCTTGGCTGGTGGAATTTCTCTTTAGTGCTGCACTTTAAATACAGATAGGAAGTTTTTTTGGGAGTGGGAATATAGTATTTATTTATTTATTTACACCATTTCTACCCCGCCCTTCTCACCCCCGAGAGGGACTCAGGACGGCTAACACAGGCAGCAATTTGATGCCACAATATCAGTATTTATTTATCGTGTCATCAGCAACCAGACATAAATATCAGCCACAATATCAGTAACATAATATAAAATCATCATACATAGCAAAGTTAAAAGCAGTACATTAATTAAAATTACATAATCACAAATCACAAAGTCACATAGCCGTTTCCAATTGTCGTAACAATCGGAGTCCTATGGTCCGAGTTCAGTGTCTAAAGTGCTGCTGTGCCCACTAGCCAAAGGTCTGGGTCCAAAACGACGATTTTAGTTTTTTCCTAAAAGAAAGGAGGGAGGACGCCGTACATGTTAATCCTTCTATCAAATTTTGGGTCCCCAGATGTTGACTTCCCTGCCCGGAATCCCTGACCATTGACATCAAGCTGGCTGGGGATCCTGAGAGTTGGAAGTCCATATCACCTGGGGGCCCAACATTTGAGAACCCTTTCCTTATGAGGTCCAGGTGAGATTTCGCGTGATATGAGAATTGGGTTTTGGATAAACGGGCCAGCTTTTGACATGTTCCTTGCTTTTGCAGGATAAAGGATGCAGACGATCAAGTGTGTGGTGGTGGGCGACGGGGCGGTGGGCAAGACCTGCCTCCTCATCAGCTACACCACCAACGCCTTCCCCGAGGAGTACATCCCCACTGTCTTCGACAACTACAGCGCCCAAATGACAGTGGATGGCAGGATGGTCAGCCTGAACCTGTGGGACACGGCTGGTCAAGAAGAGTATGACCGCCTGCGCACCCTTTCCTACCCGCAGACCAACGTCTTCGTGATTTGCTTTTCCATCGGGAGCCCCTCCTCATACGCCAATGTGCGGCACAAGTGGCACCCTGAGGTGTCCCACCACTGCCCCAACGTGCCTATCCTCCTGGTGGGCACCAAGAAGGACTTGCGGAACAACGCGGAGACGGTGAAGAAGTTGAAGGAGCAAAGCCTGGGGCCCACTACCCCGCAGCAGGGGACCTCACTGGCCAAGCAGATCGGGGCAGTCAAATACCTGGAGTGCTCTGCGTTAAACCAGGAAGGGGTACGCGAAGTCTTTGCGGAAGCCGTGCGGGCCGTTTTGTATCCCGTGACCAAGAAGAACTCCAAGAAGTGCCTCCTGTTGTAGTCGCCGGGCATTGTGGGGCAGAGACCGAGGGCTTGGCAAGTTTGCGGGCCGCCTCCTTAATCTAATTGCGTCTTGCACTAATGGCTTTAAGTGAGATTCCTTTCAGCAAGTACTCCTGCAGCTCAGGTGGCGAATCCTGCGGACTGAAATGGAGATCTTGATTCCACTTTTGAAGAATTATGCCTGGCCACCAAGTTCTCAACGTTTTCCGCTCGGCAACCATTCTTTCACTCTTTTGGGGTCAGAGAAGGGCTTGCTTCCAAGCCAAGCACTGTCTTTGCTATACAAACCTAAGATATTGGCCTTTTGAAAGAGACAACTATATGTTTTGCTTTACAGGTTGCTGCTGCTTTTCCTCAAATGTCAACCATCTTCTGTGTAGACAGGGTTGTGCCTTTCTGATATGTCAACAGAGAAGCTGAATGAAAATGTTCAAAAATGCCTTGTGAGTTTTAAAACCTGCTCCATTGTGGCATGTGAGACCCAGCATAAACGATATGTAAAAACCGATGTCAGAATCAGAGAGGGATGGAGAACTGTTGAAAGGCTTTGAATAGGATCAATATTGTGCCTCTAATTCTCTGAGAAAGGGTGTTTGCTGCCGGTGCATGGAATTATTCTGAAGTTGGGGATAAGTCCCTTTGGCATTTCTAGTTTGCGAAGGAGGGCTTTGTGGAGCAGTTCCTTGGTTCTGCATTTGCCTGCCCCTCTGCCATGTCAGTAAACCAAGATATTCTTCCAGAAGCAAATTTTCCCACACTGTCTTTTAGGATGGCTTTGGGCTGTGCAGAAGTTTGCAGAATGGATCTTCTATTTCTCTAGGCAGAACGGGTCCATGCCATGCCTTCTGTAAGATATGGCCTCCGATGGTATCCCTGATTGGCCGTTAATCAACTAGGATGCCAACTTTGATGCTATTTAGCACCTTGACAGCTTGGCAGTGGCATGCCCACTTACTCCTCTGCATGGCATGATTGATCTTAACCTTGTGAATGTGGCCTTGCTCTGAAGCGGTATTTCTGTGCCTTCCCATTGTTGCCTCTCTGCAGGAAAAGACAAGTAATTCTCTGCCTTCTAAACATTCAGGTGTGAATGCTGTTAAAATGCTGCACTAGGTTGTTATTAGTTTAAATCTCTTTAGGGCATTGGGACCCAGTAAAGATGCGCATAACCAAGGTTTAACCTTCACTAAAATATTAACGTTCCCTTTTTGATATAAAAATCTATTTAGCATCATGAGCGATTCTCTGCAATGGAGTCAAGAAACTCTTAAGCTGATGCAACATATCCATGATGATGATCTTTAGGTGGGCTGGGATGGATTATTTGGAGTCTGGTGCTTCTTGCTGTTCCTTTCAGGACAAGGAGAGCTTAAATTACGTGAATAAATGTTATTTTTCTCTACTGAAGTGCCATAGGAGTATCTAGGAAGCCAAGTAGAAATCTTATTTCCACCCACTGGCCATTTTATTTAATTTTGTTTAGTTTGACCCCATTCTGAAACAAATCAGCTCTATTTTATATAATGATGATAATTCTGACCAGTGATCCTTGTGTGTTCCAGTGCAGAGAAAGCGTGGCCTGCATATAGGACTATGATACTTCTGAGCTGCCCTCTCCGCCGTGTTGCCAATACGATGCTTGAGGGAGGGAGCTGGATCGGGGGCCAATCCGGCATCCTTCTTACAAATAGTAAATGTAAATTGTGCCTAGAGGCCCTGCAAACTGGTTGCTGTCACTGAAAAGCTGCCTTCACCTCTTCTTCCTTTATACTCAGGATAGAGATTCTGCCTTTGACTTGTCATTGAACCATTCTCAGGGTATGGAGTGGTGGCAGACACTCTCTTGGGCCTAAGGAAGGAAGTCAGGGATGGTTTGGCACTATCAGTGCATCCAAATGCTTTCTGAATATCAAGGAAAGCATTGCTCTGTGTGTGTGAGTGTGTGCGTGTAAGAGAGGTAGGCCGGTATGCTTGGTGGCCCTTAGGCCATGAGGTGTGGTGGACCAGACTCTGCAGACCAACCCTTTTGTACTTGGCTGCCCAGCTTTGCATAGAATATACTAACTCTAATATAATGGTGCAAAGCCTTGTTTCCTTTTGGTGCTGCAGGGGCCAGTGGAGAAAGGGATTTCTCTGGGTGGAGCTGAGGTCTGCTGTGGACTGTTTTGGCTGTACCAGTCCCACCAGCCCTAGCCAGAATGGGTAGTGATGAAGGGTCAAGGGTGGCATTGTTCCCAAAACAGCTAGAAGGTTCCCTTTGACCCTTTTAATGTGCTGGTTGGGGGTGGCGCCTACGCCTTAATGCAGGAGGGGAACCTGAGACTGTTTGGTACTGAAACATACACTGGCAACTGATTTTCTAGTTTAAAGAAATACATTTGTATGGCAACTAACAAAAGTTATTTTTAAATTATGTAGAAATAAATTGTAATAAATCCTTTTCTTGGTTTTTTTTGTGGTGGGTGGGGTTGGTTATTCTGATGTACTGTTGGAAGTATTGTGGTTGAGGGGGAAGTGCTCTTTTCCAAGTAATTGTCCCAGAATGGCAGCCCTCCCCAAGAGAAGGTCACTTAGGGGAACTCACGCATTGTATGGGTCCAGCAAAAGAGGCATGGATGGATGTTTCTATTGGGATAGCACTAGCCAAGTCTGTAGGAAGGATCCTTCATAGAAATGAATCATGAAGAGACCTTTACAAGGGCCATCCATTGCCATTCAGGAATGTGCAAACTAATAATAATAATAATAATAATAATAATAATAATAATAATTTATTTATACCCCACCACCATCTCCTTAAGGGACTTGGAGTGGCTTACATGAGGCCAAGCCCAACAACACATCAATACAAGAAAGCAATAAACAAAAACAATACAATACTATACAATTAATATAAATCACATATAAACAATAAGCAATAACACACAAGGATTTAAAAACCTATGGCCGGGCCAAATGTAATAGTTTAAAATTAAAACTATATATAAATAAACGCTGGGCATGAACAAGGTAAGCCCTCCTGACAGATGGCCACCCAGCCTCTTAGTGCAGACGTCACCAGATTTCTAGGCAGCAGCAGATTCCACTGCTGAACATCTTCTTTTTCCTAATATTTAGGTGGAATATTTTATCCTGCAATTTGAATCCATTGCTCCATGTCCTGGAGCAGTGTTTCTTAACCTTCATCATCCTGCGACCCCTTAATACAGTTCCTCATGTTGGGGTGACCCCCAATCATAAAACTGTTTTCGATGCTACTACATAACTCTATTTTTGCTCCTGTTATGAATCGTCATGTAAATATCTGATATGCAAGATGTATTTTCATTCACTGGGCCAAATTTGGCACAAATACCTGATACACCCAAATTTGAATACTGTGGGGTTGGAGGGGGTTGATTTTGTCATTTGGGAGTTGTAATTGCTGAGTTTTATAGTGAATCTACAATCAAAAAGCATTCTGAACTCCATCAATGATGGAATTGAACCAAACTTGGCATACAGAACTCCCATGACCAACAGAAAAGTACTGGAAGGGTTTGGTGGGCATTGACCTTGAGTTTTGGTGTTGAAGTTCACTTGCCTCCAGAGAGTCCTGTGGACTCAATTATGCATCTGGACCAAACTTGCCACAAATTTTCAATAAGTTCAAATGTGAACACTGGTGGAGTTTGGGGAAAATAGACCTTGACATTTGGGAGTTGTAGTTGCTAGGATTTATAGTTAACCTACGATCAAAGAACAGTCTGAACCCAGCTCACAACGGAGGCTGAGCGAAGGAAGATAGATGCTTTTGAACTGTGGTGTAGGAGGAAAATTCTGAGAGTGCCTTGGACCGCGAGAAGATCCAACCAGTCCGTACTCCAGGAAATAAAGCCCGACTGCTCACTGGAGGGAAGGATAGTAGAGGCCAAGATGAAGTATTTTGCCCACATAATGAGAAGACAAGAAAGCTTAGAGAAGGCAGTGATGCTATGGAAAATTGAAGGAAAAAGGAAGAGGGGCCAACCAAGGGCAAGATGGATGAATGGCATCCTTGAAGTGACAGGATTGACCTTGAAGTAGCTGGGGGTGGTGACGGCCGACACGAGCTCTGGCATGAGCTGGTACGAGAGGTCGCAAAGGGTCAGAAGCAGCTGAACGAATAAACAACAACAAATAATATAATACATAATACTGATATTGTGCTATGCTAATAATATAACGGGTGACTTACAGGGAGCAGTCAACCCCCCTGTTTAAGGAGCTCCATTGGCTGTTGTACATTTTCCGGTCCCAATTCAAGGTGCAGGTTCTTACCTACAAAGCCCTGAATGGTTTGGGACCCGCATACCTGCATGACCGCATTTCTGTATACGAACCCACACAATCTCTTCGATCATCTGGAGAGGCCCTGCTCTCACTCCCACCCCCTTTGCAGGAGAGATTGGTGGGGACAACTTCCCACACAGAACCCCTATGACCAACAGAAAATACTTAAGGCCATCCAGTGCAACTACCTTCACCAAGGCAAGAAACATAATCAAAGCCCTCCTGACAAAGAGCCATCCAGCCATAGATATAGATAGATATATATGATTCACACATACACAAACACAGATATAGTATCCTAGATTTGAAAGGGACCCTTACAGGAGGACAATTATATGTTGCCTGTTCCAAAGTAGGCAAACCAGACAATCTCTACATCAGCACTGATCAACATTTTTTTTTCTAATGTGACACCATTAAGCTGTATCACTGGCATTGGAGAGGGGTTGGCTGGTGTCTGCTGGAACAGCACCTTGTTTTTTTCAATGTTCAATGACAGGCCAAGCTTCTCGAATGCTTCTGCAAAGGTGTTTAGAATGGCTTGTAGATCTTCTGAATGCGTGCAGACGACGTCATCAGCATACTGGAGTTCTATAACAGATGTTGTAACCTTGGTTTTGGCTTTCTGAGGTTGAATAGCTTGCCATCTGTCCGATAGATGATTTCCACTTCGGTGGAAGCTTCCCATCAACAAGGTGAAGTATCATAGCAATGAAGATGGTAAATTGATGGTGTAACATTAGAAAATGTTGACCATTTCCGCTACCTTGGCAGCCATCTCTCCACAAAAGTCAACATCGACACTGAAATACAACACCGCCTGAGCTCTGCGAGTGCAGCATTTTTCCGAATGAAGCAGAGAGTGTTTGAGGACCGGGACATCCATAGGGATACCAAGGTGCTTGTTTATAAAGCTATTGTCCTCCCAACCCTGCTATACGCCTGTGAGACGTGGACTGTCTACAGACGTCACATGCAACTCCTGGAACGATTCCATCAGCGCTGCCTCCGGAAAATCCTGCAAATCTCTTGGGAAGACAGGCGGACAAACGTCAGCGTGCTGGAAGAAGCAAAGACCACCAGCATTGATGCGATGGCCCTCCACCACCAACTCCGCTGGACCGGCCACGTTGTCCAGATGTCCGACCACCGTCTCCCAAAGCAGTTGCTCTACTCCGAACTCAAGAATGGAAAATGGAATGTAAGGGGACAGGAAAAGAGATTTAAAGATGGGTTCAAAGCCAACCTTAAAACCTCTGGTGCTGGTTTTGACCTACAAAACCCTGTACGGTTCCGGTCCAGTGTATCTGTCCGAACGTATCTCCCTCTATGTCCCACCCCGGAGTCTGAGATCATCTGGGGAGGACCTGCTCTCGACCCCACCACTGTCACAAGTGAGGCTGGTGGGGACGAGGAGCAGGGCTTTTTCAGTGGTGGCCCCTCACCTGTGGAACTCACTCCCGGGGGAAATCAGGGCATCACCATCCCTCCTCGCCTTCAGGAGGAGGGTGAAGACGTGGTTATGGGACCAGGCCTTTGGGCACTCTGGCAATTAAATCAGACAATCAGGCGAGTAAGACCAACAGGATTGATGAAGTGGAACGTAAAACTAGATCTATGAGTTAGCGAACGCTGACCATGTAAGAGGAGAAATTGGGTTTGTATTGGTTTTTATTGATTTTATGGTTATTAACTGTGAATTGATGCAATTTTGTGTATGTTTTATGATGCAGGCATCGAATTGTGCCTTTGCCTTTGTAAGCCGCCCTGAGTCCCCTTCAGGGTGAGAAGGGCGGGGTAGAAGAACCCCAAATAAATAAATAAATAATAGACACTGAGAACTGGGAAGCCCTTGACCGCTCCAGCTGGAGGTCAGCTGTGACCAGCAGTGCTGCAGAAAAACACTGGAAGACAATCCTTGGAAAACGAGGGATCGCCTGAAGAAAGAAGACATCAGCACTGACAAAGAAACAGCAAGAAATACTGTTTACCCACAAGCAGAAAGAAAGTATATATATTAGGAACAAACACTTTCTCATTACTTTATTTTCCAGATCAACAGACTGGGCCACAGCAACGCCTGGGAGGGGGTGGCTAGTGTTGTAAATAAATAAGTAATACCGCAGTATACATTTATTATTTATTATGATTATTTAGATAAAGGGGGTAAGAAAGTATCCATGGCCCTCCCTCCAGGTGTTTTGGGCTTTAACTCCCACCATCACCAGAAAGAGGTTCCTCCTCCTGGACTCCTAGAACAGTCACCTCCCTTCCTCCCTGCTGTAGCCGCCGGCGCGCGCTTCACGGTGCCAAAGCGGAAGTTAGAGCGGCTTCCGCTTCCGGTATAAACACAGCAGGGCTGCGCGGCCTAGTGGAAAGATGTCTGACTCGGAGAGCGACGAGGAGGAGGAGGAGGGCCAGGGGCCGGGCTCCTTCTCTTTGGCCGGCTTCCTCTTCGGGAACATCAACGCCGAGGGCCAGCTGGAAGGGGAAGGCCTCCTCGACCAGGTAAAGCAGCGAAGCTGAGGGAAGGTCCTTGGAACCAGACACATCCCCTTCCAGACCTGACTTAACCCAAGTGGAGCATTCATTCTTCTTCTCCTATAGATGTTTAATTTATGTTATTACTAGCCACCCCCTGCCACGCGTTGCTGTGCCCCAGCTTGGTGATCTGGAAAATAAAGTAATGACAAAGGGATGGTTTCTAATATATGTAATTTCTGCGATGAGGTGGATATGTAATTGGTTAAATCAGTGGTTCTCAACCTATCTAATGCCTCAACCCCATAATCCACTTCCTCATGTTATGGTGATCCTAAACCATAAAATTAGTTCCATTGCTACTTCATAACTGTCATTTTGCTGCTGTTATGAATAGTATATATTATATGCTAGGAACTACTTTTATATGCATGGAAGTGGAAGAAGACAACAGAATAGGAAGGACAAGAGACCTCTTCCAGAAAATTAGAAACATTGGAGGTAAATTTCAGGCAAAAATTGGTATGATAAGAAACAAAATGGCAGGGACCTAACAGAAGCTGAAGAGATCAAGAGAAGGTGGCGAGACTATACAGAAGATCTGTATAGGAAGGATAATAATATTGAGGATAGTTTTGACGGTGTGGTGAATGAATTAGAACCAGACATCCTGAGGAGTGAGGTTGAATGGGCCTTGAGAAGCATTGCTAACAACAAGGCAGCAGGAGACGACGGGATCCCAGCTGAACTGTTTAAAATCTTAAAAGATGATGCTGTCAAGGTGATGCATGCCATATGCCAGCAAATATGGAAAACACAAGAATGGCCATCAGACTGGAAAAAATAAACTTATATCCCCATACCAAAAAAGGGAAATGCAGAAAGACTGCTCAAACTTCCGTACAGTGGCCCTTATTTCTCATGCCAGTAAGGTAATGCTCAAGATCCTGCAAGGAAGACTCCAGCAATACATGGAGCGAGAGTTGCCAGATGTTCAAGCTGGGTTTAGAAAAGGCAGAGGAACGAGAGACCAGATTGCCAATATCCGCTGGATAATGGAGAAAGGCAGGGAGTTTCAGAAAAACATCTATTTCTTCTTCATTGACTATTCTAAAGCCTTTGACTGTGTGGATCATAATAAATTGTGGCAAGTTCTTGGTGGGATGGGCATACCCAAGCCACCTTGTCTCTCTCCTGAGGAATCTGTACAAGGACCAAGTAGCAACAGTCAGAACTGACCACGGAACAACAGACTGGTTCAAGATTGGGAAAGGCGTACAGCAAGGCTGCATACTCTCACCCAACCTTTTTAACTTGTATGCAGAACACATCATGCGATGTGCGGGGCTGGATGAATGCAAAGCTGGGGTGAAAATTGCTGGAAGAAACATTAACAACCTTAGATATGCAGATGACACCACTTTGATGGCCGAAAGCGAGGAGGAGCTGAGGAGCCTTCTAATCAAGGTGAAAGAAGAAAGCGCAAAAGCTGGGTTGCAGTTAAACATAAAAAAACCCCAAGATTATGGCAACAAGAATGATTGACAACTGGGAAATAGAGGGAGAAAACGTGGAGGCAGTGACAGACTTTGTATTTCTAGGTGCAAAGATTACTGCAGATGCAGACTGTGGCCAGGAAATCAGAAGACGCTTACTTCTTGGGAGGAGAGCAATGTCCAATCTCGATAAAATAGTAAAGAGTAGAGACATCACACTGGCCACAAAGATCCGCATAGTCAAAGCCATGTAGTAACCTGTAGTAACCTACGGATGTGAGAGCTGGACCTTAGGGAAGGCTGAGCGAAGGAAGAGAGATGCTTTTGAACTGTGGTGTTGGAAGAAAGTTCTGAGAGTGCCTTGGACCACGAGAAGATCCAACCAGTCCATACTTCAGGCACTGCTGAATGGCTCTCAGTCAGGAAGATTAGAGGAAAAATGAAGTACTTTGGCCACATCATGAGAAGACAGAAAGCTTAGAGAAGACAATTATGCTGGGGAAAGTGGAAGGTAAAAGGAAGAGGGGCCGACCAAGGGCAAGATGGATGGATGGCATCCTTGAAGTGACTGGACTGACCTTGAAGGAGCTGGGGGTGGTGATGGCCGACAGGGAGCTCTGGCGTGGGCTGGTCCATGAGGTCACGAAGAGTCGGAGACGACTGAACAAATGAACAACAACAAAACAGCAGTAAAATCACTAAAAGCATATAAAATCACCAGCCCCGGACAATATTAAAAACCTTACTTTTGTTCATGTGAAATTCATTTAAAAGGCTGCCTGAATAAAAAACAAACAAAAACCTGCTGCCTGAAAGACGGGAGGGGGGCATTCTGGCTTCCCTGGGCAGGGAGTTTCAGAGTCAAGGGGCATTTGCTACTGAGAATGAAGGAAGGCCCTGTTCTTTCTTGTTCCCATCAATTGGGATTGACATGGAGGTGGGACTGAGAGAAAGGCCTCTCCTGAAGGGGAAGTCAGGGCCCAGGCAGGTTCCTACAAGGGGATGCGGTTGGCCAATCTGAACCATCTATGGGACTATGTGGTCCTCTGTATTATTATTATATGTTATTATATGATCATTTAACATTATTATTATTATTATATGGTATTATATTATATATTATTGTCGTTATTATATGGTATTATATAGTCCTTTGTTTTATTATATGGTCCTTTGTATTAATATTGTTGTTATTATTATTATTATTATTATTATATGGTCTATTATTATTATTTGAAACACAACAAGATGATTTCACAGCAAACAAGATCACTCTGATGGCTGTTGTATTGGATCACATGTCAGACACTTCCCAAGTGTCTAGGACTGTGTGATGTATTGGCGAATAATGCATGCAGATCCCAGTAAGGCATTTTGCAGCTGGCAGAGGGTGGTAATAATAATAATTATTATTATATGGTATTATATGGTCCTTTGTATTGCTATTATATGCTTATTTATACCCTACTTTCTCTACAAAAGGGTCTCACAGTAAAAATGAATGAAATACAATTAAAAATATACACACATTAAAATAGAATTAAATATTAAAAAGTAAGCAGTTAAAACCCTTACAGAATGATTAAAAAATGCTCAAGACAGTCAGTGAAGCTGCTGTAATAGAGGTGTGGTCCACTTCCTGTCTCCAGCCCAAATTAACCATCTAGCTGCTGCTCTTTGGACCCACTAGAATTTTTGAGCTCTGGTTGTCAAAGGCAGCCCCATGAAGTGTGCATTACAGTCCACCATCCAGACATTGCGAACGGGTTTCCAACCATAAGCTCCTTGCTCTTCCTGGCTGAAGCACATTCCCTCTTTCCTGTTTCTCCAGGAATCCAAAAAGCACTTGGCTGGACTTGGGGCGCTGGGTCTGGGCAGTCTCATTACCGAAATCACAGCCAGCGAAGAGGACGCTTCAGAGGCTGATGGAGCCCAGTTGGATGAGGAAGGTGAGGGTCTTTCTGTGTCTCTCTGGTTGAGTGGTGAGAGTAGAAGGAAGGCATTTCCCACCCTTGGCTTATATTCGAGTCAATATGTTTTCTTAGTTTTTTGTGTGTGGTAGAATTAAGTGGCTTGGCTTATATTCAGGTTGGCTTATACTCACGTATATACAGTATATATTACTATATTGTACCTTACTAGTATACTGCACCGGGTTTGTGGCACAGCTGGCTGGGAGACAGCTGCATTAAGATCACTACTGACCGAAAGGTCATGCGTTTGAAGCCAGCCTGGGTCGGAGTGAGCTTCCGACCAATTCTGTGTAGCTTGTTGTCAACCTTTGCAACCCGAAAGACAGTTGCATCTGTCAAGTAGGAAATTCAGGTACCACTTATGTGGGGAGGCTAATTTAACTAATTTACGAGGCCATAAAAAGTCTCCAACAAGCATGCGGGGAATGAGGAAGCATTTCATCAGTGTCGCAGATGGACGGTGAAACAACAGCTCCCCAGGTGACCAGAAAAAGTTGAAATGTTAAAATAGCCTCTGACTGTCTGTCTATATGTGCTATGTGTCTATGGCATTGAATGTTTGCCATGTATATGTACATTGTAATCCGCCCTGAGTCCCCTGCGGGGTGAGAAGGGTGGAATACTGTAAATAATAATGATAATAATTAGTAATATATAATATATAATTATTATATTATTATATTGTATTAGTATTATTTTGCATTACAATATTATGATCAATATTATATTTACATACAATATATTGTTACCATAGCACAATATTAGTATTATATACTACTGTAATCTACCATACCACTATACTGTGATATTATTAATAATATTACATGTAATATATACAATTATTATATTATTATATTGTATTGGGAACCAGGTACAAAGTAAACCCCCTCTCAACAAGTGGCAATTGCATTTTAAGAAACAATGACACCTTACTCTGTCCTCATTGCCATCTCTGTGTGGGGAGATTGTAGCGGAAAGAGCAAAAGTACAGTCTCATTTTTAAAATTACCCTTTTCTTTCTAGTTTCCTCCTGCTCTATCTTTCCTTTCTTGAAGCCAGGATCTGGTGCAGTCTTATTTCAGTTTGGATGGAAAGTGGGTGAGGGTGGGGAAGAGTGTTTGCTGTTTGTTCTATTGCTGTTTGTGTGATTGGCTGTTTTCTGACTTTGTATCCTAGGCTGGGTTAAGAGCACGGAAGATGCCGTGGATTATTCGGATATCAATGAGGTCGCTGAGGACGAAAGCCGCAGGTACCGGCAGGCGATGGGCAACCTTCAGCCTGTTCAGAGGGCAGGTAAGTGGTATATTTATCTTCACTCTGGTGGTTGATTGAAGTTACTGTACTCTGAAGGTCCGCTTTGTATTGGAATGTGAGAGTCAGGTGTGCAACCTTTTTTACTCCTTTCTATTTCACTCCATTTTGTGATGTGCCAATAATGAAGGAGGCTACCTCAGTCTGGTCTCTTAGACCTCCTTCTTTCCATTCTTCTGGGCTGAGCCTCAGTTTTGCAAGCATACTCATGGGGAAAGGGAGGAAAGTTTATTTAGAAAGGCGAAGCGATCCTTTGGGCCCTTTGACCACTTCCCATTTCACCCCTTGACTGAAAATATGGCTTGGAAATTGCCAATTTGAAAGACTACTTTCTTTTGCAAGGATGTGACAAACCTCCTTGTTCCTTGTCTGATGTTAGCATGGTGCGGACTGGAGAGAGGGAGGCTTCTCATGATAAATCCCTTTGCCTGAATTATTCCCACAGTGCTAGGCAAACACTTCTTTTTGTTTTGCCTTGCCCTTGCATTTACCACTTATTTTATAATGGACTAGCTAAATCCAATCACGCTTCTCTGTGGCTCAGTTTGATATGAAATGAATGAGTTAGTAAATAAAGGTATTGTTGCAAACATAGATTCCCTGAAAACACATCATTCAATTCAGTCCCCTGCCTTGCTTTGCTGTGTCTATGTGGAATGAAAGGAAAGGAAAGAAGAAGAGGTTTATTTTACGAATATCATTTTTATTGTAACGCTAGTGGATTGACTACATTTTTGTCTTGTCCGTTTCTGCATAAACATAAAGATCTGACTGTTTACCGACTCTGGAGCATGCAACGTATA